AAGACGCGTGTAATCCAGCCGGCCCGGTCGAAACATTCTAAGAATGTATTGTGTACAAATCTCTCTCCTATCCTCTCCTCTCTCTACCTCCAGCCATCTATCTCTACTAACAGGCGATTCGACAGGTGCTCATAATACAAATGTTTTGTCTTAACATTGCATATAAATTGTATTTGACTTTCGGAAATTCGAAAAAGTGGAAGATTCTAAATGTGCCTGCTATGTATTTTTTTCATTGAAATTTCTCTTTTGCTGTTCATAGAAATGTTTTAAAGATCTGTTTAAATTGAAGATTGATATTTATTACAATTACTTAACCTACTATACACTTACTACTCGCTAATTAAGTGAGTGTGTAAACATAAACATCGAGATTAAGTGCTAGAAAACGATACCGAGGCGATGAGATCCTTGTACTTGTGCGTCATATGCACTTGTACGAGTCGGTTATGCACAGCTAATTAATGCTTTCCGCCGACATGCTTGAGGCGGGCAAATCAAAAACACACCAAGTATTCATGGTACTCGTGTATCACGAAACAGCTCCTTGCTTCGATTAACCCTTCCATCATCAGGACCACCCGTTTTGGCCTGCTCTTCCTATTAACGTGTCGGCCGCGTAACTTTTCGTCGAACATCGCGAGCGCTTATTCTTTTTATACTCGTTAATAGTAAAGAGGGCATGTCCGCGCGCGCGCGCACGATGTAACTGTAAAATAAAAATATTATTAAATAAGAATGGTAACACAAATCGCGATTGGGTTGGCACATATGACAACCCAATTGGAAATTATTACAACCAAGAATGTAAAAGCAGGCATATATGTAAGTGCTATTATTAATAAAATCACGAAAGTTTTAAAAGTCTGTAAAAATTCTATTTTAGCCATATCACAAAAACTTTTATTAGATACTCTAGTCGAGGTCTATTGCTCGAGAAATCAGAATTGTTCATTATTGGTAAATTGTTGTAATAAAATGTGTGAAACAGTAAAATTTTTAAGGATTACGAACGATAAAATCCAATCCGTTAAAGTTCGCCTTTCAATATGTATAAACCATGCCATGCCATATAAATTGTATGTAGTTAATATCGCAGAACGAAATAAGAGTTTCCTAAGCATATGCATGATTGCGAATCTCGATCGGCTTCGCATGTATCAAGTATCTAAGCCGCCAACAACTTTCATGCGTTCGAATATAAATTCTTTGATTTCTTCTAAATCAAATTTAAAATCAAGTATTTATTACAAGTTCATTTTTTATCTATTCTGGACATTAAATTTCTTGAATCTTATATCGTTTCATTTGCATTTTCAAATCGTACGTTCGCAACGTTCTTATAATTATTAATATTATGTAACTTTTTAACGATGGATATTTCAACGATTATGCTTCTCTTCTTTAATGTTAACGTAAAGGGAATATTTCTCGTACATCTCTATCCATTTGGTTTCACGATGCGTGTCGTCGAACGACCCTGCTGAGAATCGTTCCGGTACAACAATCGCGGAACGATAGTTCTTCGCCGGGAGCTACGAGTCATTAAACAGTCGGCGCTAATTGTTTGATATTCGCTAGAACATAAATCAAGATCGAAACGTGTAGACGTTAATCTGTTAGGACGCTGGTCAACCGCAGTAATTACATATTCGCAACAATCGCAACAACTCAAGCGTCACGAACGGATATTTGCGAATATATTATCGGCGCTTAAACATTGTCCGTATAATCCATGTTGTGCCACTTAAACGAGCAACATACTAGTTAACTCGATTTTAATTAAAGTCGTAATACATGCCTTCATCGCGGACTTAACGACCAGCTCTGTCTCTGCTTCCTTCTTTTAATTCATCTCCCACAGCCAGCGGGATTACAATTGACACCGTGACACTGCACGCTCCTTTTGAATTATGAGACTCCGAGCGAACGTCCTCTTTCAAGCAACAGCGCCAACTCTGAGATTTCTCTTGGGATAGGTTCAGACAGAATTTTCCTTAAAACTTGCTATTTATAGTAGTTAATCTTTCGCTTTGCCACATACACAAAGTTATTGTTTAATTGAAGAACCATTAATTTTTTTTTATTTTATAATATACATATATAAAATAAAATTATATAATTTATTTTATTTTATTTTTATTAAAAATCTCTACAAGTATACATATATCTGTTTTAATTTGCCGTCGCATCTACCGTCTTTTGCGGGAAGATCAACTATAGACTTTTTGTTCCATGTGCATAAAAAATCATCTCTTCTGTCTCAGAGTCAAACATGGCAAATGATGGCTATGTCAATAGAAAGAAAAAAACGTTTATTCGTTCTCGATGGAATGACCGAAAAAAAGACAGAATTATAAGATTCACTGACGATCCACTAATTCATTCGGCCGGAACGTCTCACGCTCGTCAAAAACTTGACGTATAATTTGTTACTTAGGTGGTCACACACAGGTGCGAGATGTTACTTGCAAGAGCAAAAGATTCGATCGCATCTTTATATTGCTGGGTACGCCGTTCGTCCAATAATCAGACAGTCTGAAGCGATCGCTGTCAATATTGGAACTGCAGTTAAGGGAGTATTGGTGCAGCGATGCGTTTAATCCAACAAAAACGATCGGCGGAGTTAACGAGCCGCGAACAGCCTTGAAATCGGTATTGGGTTTGCTCATGTTATCCCTGTCCTGTCGCGATGATCGTTATATATCGCTCATGCTCTCGCTGTAACCTCAAGATTTAATATGGAATGTCAGACGAATTCTTTTAAAACGTAGTTAAAACATTCTTTTATTAGCGCACAATGTCTTTTTACAAAACTTGTAAAATACTGCTTTACATACAATAATTGCAAATACAGCCAACTACGGATATAGGAAAAGATTATCCATTGTTTCAATTAAAAATTAATATAACTTGTATCGTAAAATTGTTAATAAATTTCTTTGCAAATGGTTAATAATCCCAGTTGCTCATCTTTTCTCTTCGCTAAAAGAATAAATCACCGCAAACGAACAATTAGTAATCAACTGATTTATAATCTTTAGCTTTTAATTTATTTTGATCGGATGATATGATATATATATTAACCGGTTACCACTACATTGTTTCGAATAATAATACTAATTAAACTGCTTATAGTTTTACCGTATTGTTAGAGAAATCGAGGTAATATTACTCTTATAGATTCATGCATTAGCGACTTCTCGGTCGCTCACGGAGACGATGAGTTACGACTATTAATTAAGTAGAACGGACAACGAGAAAGCATAATCTGTCTGCATGCTTCTTCTTACTTTTTGTTTCTTATACAAAACAAAAAAGTATATCGTATACAGCAGGATCCAAAATATTGTAAACCACAATTGCAAAGATTATTATCTTGAAATTTTTCTATAATAAACCTACGGAACAGCATTCTTATTATGAAAGAATAATAAAAATTATAACGAAGAAACTGGGATTTGGACATGATTGGATTTTGATTGCAGCGATTAACAACTGTGTAAACACGTGAATGGCGTGTAAAGCAAGGGATTGGTATGCTACTGTCACTCTGTGCGTGACGTTGATATTTCCTATTCATAAACTACGGTTATCTCTCCGTGTCCATTGCAATCGCGACCGCGATTACACAGCAATATTCTCGATAGCGAAACGCGTTCACTATCCCACGTCGCATACCGCATCTGTTATCTACGGGTCAATTACATAGACTGCGTCTTTGTGCTGATGTGCCGTTATAATGGCTAGCATCCCTCGATAACAGCATTATTCCGATAACCGTAAAAATTTGCTATGAAAAAACAAAAAAGTTCTATTAAACGGACTACCTATTTCATCAAAGAACTGAAAGATTTCACAAATGTAGCGACGAGTTTCTATCTCTCTTTTCGTATTACGTTGCTACTGACTCTTAAAGTCAAATTTCTTTTTCACAAAATTTTCTCAAAATTTTCTCAAAATCTAGATATTCATAATCTATTGCACTTGATTGTGTCGAGAAGTATTCATATTTTTTTCTTCCTGCATTTTTCAGAAGAAAACGAATATAACGTCTCCTAAAAACATTACTAGAATTCCTGATTTTCTCCAAAATGTTAAAAAGAAATAAAGATCGAAGATGCTTACACAAATTTTTAAACGCATTTAAAATTACAGGTTAACAATTAGTGACAACATTAATGCATGTATCGTTCGGTTTTTTCGACTTTTACACGGTAGCTTATGTCGTATCTTATCCGTGTCGCTAATTATTACCGTATCAGCGCAAATGGATGCACATGAATCACATTACGTGACACAATGCTAGATATTCATCGTATCCGTCATTTTCAGGTCGATTGCGCAAGCCGTACGTTAGGATTAAGCTATCTTTACAAATATATGTACTGTTATAACTATTAATATCGATTTTCACCGGTTGTATTATTATATATCGTCGCGGTAATCTTGAAATTGATTTAAAGCGATAACAAAATATGAAAGACGCCACATGTGTGTGCGGCAAGGCAAAGCCGTGAAGGTTTAGTACCTACTATTTCAATTGATGTATATATATTTATATAAAATACATTTTCGTTCACTGTCTGGGAATGCTCTACATTCACACATGTATATAGGTACTGTAGGCAGGCAATATCTCACTATTTTATTGTTTGCTCTAATTTTTTACAAGAGATTGCTATTTCCTTGCAATTTTGCGGCATACCGCGTTATCCTAATTTTCACAAACGCTTACATATTTCATATTTGAAACTCCATAATCATGATTTCTCCCGGCAAATCAATTTTGCGCTCGAGACCTCCTTGGGATTCGAAGCGCAACCTGGCAGACGGTGCCCGGTTAATTTGCTCGCTAGACCATGGTGGTCGGATAAATTAAAATAGATCCGGTTTCAAGTGTAGAATCGCGCGCCGGCCGCGGCCGCGGCGTAACAATTCGCGCACAACAGTGAAATTAATGCGGACTAATGCGAGCCAGTGCGTTTTTGTCTTTGCAGGGCAGGACGGTGTTTCGTCGTGAGAGGCTGGGACCTCCAGGATGCCAGGGGTGTGGAAGTTGCTACGTACGCTGATCTATATGGTGAGTGTACAGCGCCGATTTGCAAATTGGACAAACGCCAACGGATAACGATCACGTACTTGCGAACATTGATATGATTTCAACTTTTCGATTTTGAATTAGTGCCAAGCTAACGTCCTCTCTTTTGTGAACCAAGTAGATGATATATCATCTAACGTTATTCTGATTTTTAAGCGACGCCGACGTGTCAAAGATTAATGTAACGTTTTAAACGTTTAATACGGTTTAATTGAAAATATCTATCTGCAATACCAGTTTCGCACAATTCTGTACAATTGTTCAGATAGAAGCGATACTAAATAATCGCGAAGCGACGCTTCCGGCGAAGTGTCATGAGAGGCCTTATTCGTCCTAAATTGGAAAGGTTCATTAGCGCGAGTTATCGACGTTGAAAGATGAAACATCAGATTCGCTGTCTTAATAACGCGCAATGAGCAGCGAGCGAGCGAGCGAGCGAGCAGCGCTAAGAGGGACAGGGGCACAAACAGCGGTGTATCGACTAGCGAGGTCGGCATGGCATTACACACGAGACTCGTAACTCGTGACTTGCGTTTCGTCCCGCGCGTCTTCTAGCGGTTTTCTTTTGTCGGTCAATTAGGCCCTAGAGCCGTGCGCACTGGCGAGTCTGGCGACCGGCCGCGCCGATTCCGATAATGGACCGTAATTTCAAGTGTGTTTAGCCAATGGCTCTACGCTATTAGCGCCGTAGTCGCCGTAGATCCTATAATAATTAATGAATAACGGTTTCACGCGCGGACCAAACTACTCCCAAAGTTACTCGTTCGCGTAATAGTCGTTTGACCGCCTAATAACCGGGATACCGTTTTAGCAAGGACCGAGGACCGCGCAGGAGATAAAGAGGCTCGTCGTTTCCGCGGGCGCGGGAGCGACCGACTCTGACCTGACCGGCGCGGCGCGGCGGGAATTCGCGTTTCCATTTACAAGATGACAATGCGATGACGCGGCGGGAGCCGCCGCCGCCGCCGCCGCCGCCGCCGCGACAGCTTGCAAGCGGATATTCGTGCCTACTCTAGGTACCGTTACCCCGTCTTGAAACCCCCTCTCCACCCGGTCCCATTCCCCTCATTCCTTCTCACGTTATTCAGAACTCCACGTGAAGCCTATCGTATAGACGGTACCGTGCGGCGAAACATATATCTCCGCGCGTGGCCTTGCAAAATAGGCGCGTCTCGCCTATAAATGTCGACGATAAGTGCGTATATCAGATCGTTAGACGTGCTTGTGATGTAGATCAAAGCAGACGAGATTAGAATCAGGGAATACTATCGCGATCTACAATTTAAGAAAGAGCGAATGGTAAAATCGAATGTTAAACCGTGTAAATTTGCGAAGTAGACACAGTTGGTAGTAGCCAATACCGACGTACGAACCATTGTATACAACTGCACTCCGTGGTTTACGAGCTTTATCCAAGTTATCGAAGATACGCCAGTAATTCGGTACGGAGATTTTACCACTGATTACATTACTAATACGTAATACGAATCCCTGAAGGATTGAGGAAGGTCAGTAAAATCGGCCATAAAACTCTCTCCATTCGTATTCGCGTCGACCTCAATCCTCCGTCTTACGATCGGCACACGCGAGCACGCGGCACCGAGGCAGCTATTTCCGCTGTCACGAGTACAATTGACTATTCGCAGACGGGCATTAGTATTCGAACGCCACCGGTGCCGCGATGGGAAACTCACCTACCAATGTGCCTCACGTTCGAGTACCTTGGAATACCGATGCGCACGAGGTCATAACCAAGTCTCGAGAAGTCATAAACCACATCTTTTACTCCTGCCTCCGGCGCGGCGCGGCGGCAGTGCCCACGTGCTATATATAATATGAATATTATTTGTCATTTTTTCCAAGATCGTCTAAAAGAGAGAGAGAACATGCAATGCCAGCAATAAAGTAACAAAGATCTTATTCTTTTTAAAGGTACGTACGGTGGTAAGTTATTGACGATAAAATGTCAGTTTCCATATCTTGGCAAATCATCGGGATAGCGAATAGAGAGATACTCGCGGGGGTAGTTGATTCTGACGATAAGTCAATGGTCGTATACATCGCGACGCGGCGCGATGCCGCGCGATGCCGCAGCGCAACGCACTCGACAAAAAGGGTACGCGCCGTGTATACCCGCGTCTGCCAGGTGCGTAATCATTTCTAATGAAACGTTGTCATTTAACAGTGCGATTGTAAGAGCGTAGAAACGTGTTTTCACTTGCGCGAAAAACGGCGACCGTTAAAGCAGCGGTAAAGACGCTTCTCCCGTTACGGCGATACCGCACTCGCTCGTTCACGTAGCGTCTAGGACCTAAGATTTTCTAAGGCCACGACCAAAAGCGCATGTGTATAGCATCCCTTAATTACCAGAACCAGAAGCGTTTGGAACAAAGGCACTCGTAACGTTCCATGGACAATCGATGGCGCATCACGATTATTTATCCGCACTAGGGTGGTATAAGATGCATTAATAGTAAATTCGCGGTATCGACCGTCGCGCGTCGCGTCGCGTCGTTTAAGGATGGGACGATACCGACAAAAGCTGTAATATTGCACAATATAAGTAAACTTTCGTTTACTTACATGTAAAAATAGAGAACTTTTATAAACTATTTCAATGCAATTGTAACGCAAGCAAGTTCTGAGAAGCAGAATCTAGATCAGGTTTAATAGACCAGACATATTGATTTACTTATAAAGTTTCATTACAATAGTAATACTATACAAATAAATCTTGACAAAGTACACATAGCCCGAAAGATACATACACCCTTAGATTTATTAGGATAATAATTCTTTACAAAACGAGATTGCAATCCGCAATCCGCGGTTAATAATTTACATTTACAAACTTTGCGTTTACTTTTGCCGCACGTCCTTTATTTTAAAAATTATTAACAAACAAGTTAATTTATACATAAAATAACTCTGTTGATGTATTATATCTCTTTTTGCTTTTTTATTTTTTATTCTTAATTATTATAACTTTTATTCCAGAATTGAATAAAATGTGTTCTCAGAACGTCTTTATGAAAATACACGGCCAATGGAGTCGTATCATTAATTGATAATAGTGTCGTGTTATTAAAGTAATAAATAGCAAAAGTGATGATAAATTTAATTATCGTAATCGAGCGTCCCCGAACCGCTCATTAGATTCAAGATTCAATTCATTAGATATCGCCGTGAAAACCAGTCAGGCGCCCGCGCCGCAACCAAAACAGCATCATCGTTGCTAACACTTTTGTAATCTCGCTAAACATTGCTTTACACGCCAATAAAATAATGGCACTTGTAGTTATCTGCGTTTAGTAGAGGAAGTAAGCGAAAATACGAGATAAAAGGCTAATGTGTGTCATGATTAATCTGAAATAGACGTGCCGCGCGATCCAGCGCGATGCTGCTCTTGTCGCGGCTCAGCGCGGCTCGTGCCTCGTGCCTCGTGCCTCGTGATTACCTCGTATACCAGCATTAACGGCGAGGCAAGAAGTATACGCGGGATTGTCAGTTCCGATTGAGCGTGAGAGGTATTTATGACTAAATCGTATGGATTATCTTGGGTCTAATGGACGGGCGGAGCGAAAATACACGGGTACTTAAGTTTTCATTACAATCCCATCTTCGTAGGAAACCTCTTTAAACGCACTGCGCGCAAAAAAGAACTCGTTGCGAGGTAACGAACTTGATTTATAGCTAATAATTTCCAACGTGGACGTATTAAGGACGATGTTTCAATTAAACTGAACTGAAAACTTGTCTCTCATCTCTTGGAATAGTTTTATACAATATAACAATATGTATAGAGATAAATAATTGATCCACTTATTGACTTGAATTTATCAAGTATTTCTTCTAATTACTGATAAAGATGGACTAGAAGAAAACATCGGGTTAGGGTTTATTAAGTTGTAAAAATTAAAAATACATTTACGTAAAATGAAATTATGTAAAACCATTTCAGCTTATCATCTTATTCGTCATGTACGCAAGGTATCTCAGTTGAATATTTTTGCCTGCTGATATCAAATAATCAAAAGATCTTGGTGTACTTTCCGACTCAGTGACCTTTTTGTGAACTTTACCGCAAAGTAATTTTCTTGTATCGCGAGGAAAGTAGGATCGACAACCGATTCTTACCGTTTTGCGTGCGTAACTTTGAAGCCACGAGCCATGTAAATACATCATGCATACGGTGTCGGACAATGAGCAGGAAGCGAAGGGATAGCAGAAATAGAGAGAGAGAGAGAGAGAGAGAGAGAGGAGGAAGGTCACGCGGGTTCAAAGAAGAAGCGTACAATATTCTTTAAATGTGCAGGTGGTTGGCTTGAGGAGCGTCAGTAGCAACAGCGACATTTGGCCGCTGGAGAGGCCAGAGGGCATGCCGGCCATCCAGTCTTTGGAAGTGATGTGCGGAAAAGATCATATGGACGTCCACCTCTCATTCTCGCAACCCTTCGAAGGCATCGTCTCGTCCAAAGGCCAACACGCGGACCCACGTTGCATCTACGTTCCACCGTCCACCGGACAAACGTTCTTTTCCTTTCGGATAGCTTACGCGAGGTAAGTGCGTGAAATCAAAAGAAAAATATACCTGTATAGCATATATGTATAGCATAGATAGTCGAATGTAACTTTCGACGTATCATCAAAGAAATTTCATCTACTCTAGCCTCTTGCTTTCGCGCATTTTTTTCGTATTTTGTCACATTTTATCGTAGAGCTTACAACACGAAAATATCAAGACACAATTTTATTTAGTTAATCACTTTTCACCAACTTTGTTAAAATTATAATATACATATATTATAAGAACTGTAGAAAACGTATTGCACATTATTTTATATATATTTTTTATTTTACTCTAGATGCGGTACGAAACCGGACATGCACGGACAATTTTACGAGAATACCGTGGTGGTCCAGTACGATAAAGATTTACTCGAAGTTTGGGACGAGGCTAAACGACTGCGTTGCGAGTGGTTTAACGATTATGAAAAGACCGCATCGAAGCCACCGATGGTTATCGCGGACCTCGACGTGATACAGTTGGATTTTAGAGGTACAAACACCTCAGTTCTCACGATTATACTTTTATCAAATATTTACCATTTCTTAATGGAGATAAAATCTTAATGGAGACATTATCGAAAGTATCGAAACTACCACGCGACACATCCGCGCGCACGAGAAATTCTCCTTCGATTGCCATCTGTTGCTGTAATGTAAACAATCTTAAACAGCAAATAGAATCATGTCCTTTCGAAGACTTTCAAGTTTTTATGAAATTATCGCGGTTAAATATCCGAGTAAATGCGCAACGCAGGTATTTTCCACGATGGTAATTTTCTGTTAAAGCGGCACGTATGAATACTTGGCTTTTGAACGTGCGTTACGAGGGATAGATAGCGGTACATTTGATGCGCGCAAACATATCATACGAGATACACTGCAACTCGTGCACCCGTTTGCGGTTGGCCGCAGGTGAAACCACAGTGACATCAGTTAATTTCAGTTTATATAACATATATAAACTGCGATCGTCGCACCGCGCCGAAATACATATACAGAGAATACTCTGAAGAACAATTATATCGCTAAATTAACTAATATCGCGCTTTTTTCCGTTGGAATAAATATAAACGCGATCACTTTCAAAAACGTGGTGATATGTAGCTATTACGCCGGTATTATGCTATTACGCTATTTTTGGATATTTCTTTTCGTCATGAATGGGTGAACGTTGTACACCCATATTATACATCGCTGCTCCATTCGTAGGTGACAACGTGGACTGCTGGATGGAAATTCAGCACGGCAAGGGTCCATGGGCGCCCCCCGTGTCCGGTATCGTGCCGCTCGGCTCCACTCTTACTCTGGTCGTCGCCATAAACGATTATCGAGGTAACGAGCTCTCCAGATACACGAAACTTTCCGGGCGATCGCACGGGCGCTAACGTAATTTTCTGTTATTTAACCGAGCACAGGTGAGTTCGACATGCGGGTCAAGTCGTGCGTGGCTTCGGACGGCGGCGGTCACACGATACAGCTCAGCGACGAGTTCGGATGCGTGCTAAGACCGAAGATGATCAGCCGGTTCTTGAAGGCGCGCGGCTCCGACGACCGCGCGACCGTCATTACATACGCCTTCTTCCACGCGTTTAAATTCCCAGACGCGTTAAGCGTTCATATCAAATGCAAGGTAATAAATGTAATAATTTGATGATTTTCAAACCAAACTTGATTATTTACAATATAATATTTACAATCTACCTTCCGGGTTTTCTTTGACAAATTTGCTTATATAAAAATTCGTATAAAAAAGGTGGAAATATGTCGGCACGGTTGCCTGGATCATTGCCAATTGAGCGGTTCCGTAGCTCACTATATTCAAGAAAGAAAGGATCAAATACGACCACAGTATATAGAGAGCACGGCAGCCTCTAGCCTCTCCAATGACAACGATAACAGTAGCGCGGATAAAGACAACGAAGATGCGGATGGCAATGTGGAGCAAGGAGGTGGTTCTCTGTACGACGATGTCATCCAGAATGGCGATGAAATGACGTCGATCGGTGGACATTTCCTGGATGTTGAAAAGTCGATTCCAAAAGCGCAGGCACAGACGAGTAACCGACGAGTACCGTCGACTGTGCCGAGTACTGAGACTGAAACGCAACACCACAGCGAGGTCCAGCCGGATGATGTCGATTTATCGAAACTATTTATGGTAAATATAAAACTTACTGTAAAACTTTCTCTTAATCGGTATAAATAACGTCGCCGCTTCTCTTTCAGGAGCCATCGCGAGTGAACAGGTATGAAAGCGAGCAGGATCAATTCCCACATGGACCACGGAATCTGGAGGAAGACAATGGCGCGGTGCCGGTGACGCCGCTCTCCGCCAGCGTTACCCGGCGAAAACGCTCGGTGACGGTAACGGACAGGAAAGCGCGCAGCGCTGACGTCGGCGTTAGCGGTATTTACGAGGTCATCTCCGAGGCGGATCTGGCCTTTAGTCCGGACACGCATGCCGAGGCGGTGACAGTTTTTCAGGGCAGGATACGCGAAGAGGTCGTTTACGGGATCTGTCTACCAATGCCAGGTTTCAGCGCGCTCTTCATCGTCGTCGCCCTCTCGGCGGTCGTTTCCGCCCTCGTTGCGGGCGCGATGCTGCATCGGCTGCAGGCGCAGCGGGACGTCACCGCCGGCAGCAGAGAAAACACTCAAACCGAAGTACACGCCAACAACAACGGCTGGTTGCCTTATGGTCTGCTCCGCGTGCGCTGCACGGCGCGACCCGCTCATCATCCCGATGAGCTGCAACAGAAGCAGACGAACATAGTTTCGCAGATTACCGCGGATTCATCGGTCGAACGAGACTGATGACGATGACGAGGCCTTAAACTCGCGTCATCTTAAGACACCTTAAGACACCGTGGGCCAGGTGCGTCTAAGGAGAGACAATGTGCAATAATACGCTGTACAAAGTATCGTAAGTGCGGAGCTGAGCTGCGCGCGATTATATCGCGGTTAGATCGAGAGGACAGGCATTTCACATAGAGAGACACGCAGAGAGATGAGCTAATACTAAAGGAAACAGAACGCTATTATTCGACACTATTGTTCGAGTGTCCTCCTGCGAATCGCGCGACGACCGAATTCTCGCGAATCGCAGTTGTCGAGGACTCGTATATCTTTACTAGGTATTTGCGTTATTCTGATGATTTTATAGCGAAGCTATTCCATAACTCGTAACATAAATATTGTCTCAATAACGCGATGTTTTTTTTCAGCCGTTATGTCACGAGTCGTAGTTTTCAATTATGATCAATTAAGTACTAATAAATACCGCATTGTTATGAATATTTCTTCTGAATATTACACAATGACAATATTATGCTCTTTTTACACAAGTTCTTCTTTTTACATTTTGAATAAATCTATTAAAAAATAATAAAGAAATCTGTTAAAATAATTTTAAATAATTCATAAATCATTAAAGAACAAGTAATGAAAAATATGTATTACTCTATGTCTATGAAGATACAATACAGGGGTTATAATTCATACATTAAAAAGTTATGAAACAGATGTGTTATAAGAGAGCATTTATTGAAAATATTTAAAAGCTAGAATAAATCCGCAACAGTATAAAAAATTATGAGAATAATTTGTCGTTGATATGCAGATCGCGTTTTCGTGAAAATTTTAACGCCTTGATTAATAATAAAAGTCGTGGGTATATCGTAAAGAAAGTAATTTAAGAAAATAATATCGGAAATATTCATAATTGTATTAGTAGTATATTTATAAGATTAATGTATTTTGTCATACGAATGGTAAAAATGATACACAGCTATGATTGCTCTGGTGCATCGAATTATCTTCTGTCTAGAGGTTTCGATGCATTCGAGATTCTATCAACAAATACATCAAGGGTTACGAAACATCATCTATGATCTAAGTTTTATTTAGATTATTAATAGATATTGTTATACTGTTTTATGAGTCTTTAGGATACTGAATCGTGTTCAGTTCCACGACATTCTCGTCATGTAGAGATCGTTAATGATTTGCTCTAAGGAGGCTAAAAGTAATATTTATCTCGGATGTGTATGAAATATGTTAACAGTTTTTTTTTTAGAAAAGCTGACACGAGGAAAATAAATATTCAACTCCCGTTATGTCCATTCCTTCATCTTCTAAAGTTTTCACAACCTATGGGTGTGTGCGCAAGACTTGGAGAAGGGTTTACAATTTTTCCCTTTATATCTCATGTATAGATAGATTGTTTCAAATCACGTATTAACAAGTCAGTATATTAAGCTACTGCCAGAAATATAATTTTTTGTTATAATCGAATCCCTTATACCTGATATACGTAAGTAAACACCCTGGAAATGTCCATACCGAAATGTCTCACGTAAAGACCTCTCCCAAAGATATTTCCAACGATATGGACATATTTTGAACCGTATTTATGATATCCGAATCCTGTTTCACGTAGGAAACTCGGGAAACTGTCTAAACGGATTTTACTAATGGACGAGCAATAAAGTTTCATTTCCTTTCTCGTCCAAAGGACTTGCGAGTTGCCAAGTATATAATATTTAAAACTAGATCTTAAGTTATTCGTACATATATACACGTGTACAAAAATTTGTCATACGCTTAGATTGAGTAACTTTAATTTAAGCGTAGCATGTGTACGCGATCAGCACTGAGAACTAGATAAAACGTGGCATTGCCTGACAGCGAATGAAAAACGTTCGAGCAAAAGTAAGGCGATATAGTACGACTATTTAGTTAAAAGATTATGTTTTTTTATGTAATATATATAAATAAATAATGGCAATAAATATGTATATTTACAGAATTGAATATACCTGGAATATACGATTAATTCCTAATTATAATTTATTCTGTATATAAAAATACATCAACTGCTTTTATTGGTTAATTAAATAACTAAATAGAGAGAGATTTGTATGAGATTAATTAAATAAATGGCCATTGAAATGCGCAACTTTTAGAACACCTTGCGTATTACTATATTGCATATCTTATACACTAAATACATAAATCACGCTGCAAATATAAACTAATGACTGCACACACGATATATAACTTATTACTTTCATATATAACTTTCACATATAAATTATTGAATTGTTTAATTTTCTTTTCGCATTTTTAATACGTTTTTTGAGCAATACTGTATTGATCGTAGTAACAATAATATGACAAATGCGATAAAGACTCAATGACTTTATCATTCATCACCTTTTTGAGCGTTGCTTAACATTCATATAACTGCACGTGAAACAAAGCAAACCTCATCTCATAACCAAACTGCGTAATTTATTATTTTCTGTTTTACATGATATCAGTATAATATTTTGGCACTTCAGATTTTCGCAACTTAAGAAAAACCTATTAAAGTAAACTTTAAATAATTAAATACTTATATATGTAATTGAAAATTTGTCAGTTTGGTATAATACATTTGTCTGCCAATATCTTCATTATTTATTATTTTAATTATTTAATATTTAATTCGTCAATTGCAATAGAGAATAATACTTTCACATTTTATAATTTTATTTTATTTGTTTACCTGACATATAAAATTTTATATAAGATTCTATCTATTTTTAAAAAATTTAGATGGGTAACAAGTATAAATATGAATAATAATATTAACAATAACATTATTAACATTGCTTAAATGCTATATTGTAGATAACATAGACTATTTTCGCAAAATTTCAGCTTTATTATTACCTAGTCGCATTTTGAGCAACCATACGTTGTTATACGAGAATCCCAAATCCCGAAAGAAAAAGAAAACAGAGAGAAACTAAATACAAACATGTAGATAAGTAATAAACGCAGAAACAGGTTTGATTATCTTTGACTAAATTTTCGGCGTATCGCCTATGTTTATGCCTATAAAGGCCTGAGCATAAGTTTCATTATGACGAAGCACAACTCTATGAAGACCGTAATATGTAGTGAACGAAGGTGACACGAGTATTGCAACATTATCGTAAGATAATACCGCTGGCGTTAGGAAAACGTAGTTTTACATAAAGTCGTGCTTGCGACACTCGATAGCCTCTACGAAACCTGAAGATTCGCAATTTCGAAGACCAGTTTACATAAAGTTCCCTTTCTGGTCTCCTTGTAAAAGGTATTCCACTACGTGTGCTCGATCCGCTCGAAATTCTGCATACACATAAATATACGTACAAAAAATACTGTCAGTTAATGGCCAAAGGTATTTGAAATAGTACAAATGACTTCCACCCGTTTACCACTAATATTTTGTCTTGGCAAAGTATTGACACCCAAAACTAATTTCTTTTTCTCTACACGATCGCAGAGAATTCATCCTGTGGAAATATTGACCTCCAACGACGTTTCAACGATATAGTAGAAAATCTCGTAAACCGGTTTCGAAGAAGAGGTCCTTCTTCCAACATCAAGATATATCAGATCACCAAAACTCGTGACAGATATCTCTATGAGTAGAAGCACGTTCTCGAAGGTTTCTTCGTCGCGCCATTCTGTTCGACGTTAGAAAACGCCATGGACTTTTTGGCCCTTGCCGAAAAGGGCCTGAGACGTATAAAGAGGTAAGCGGACAACACACACGAGGAAAGTAGAACGGCAAGTAGGACAATGAGAGTAATCGCGAATCCAGGAGTGGTCATGCAGATCATGGTCGAGCTACCCGTGTTCTCGTGACGTTGTGGAAATACCATCGTTGGTCCATTCATCTCGCCGTTGTTGTTGTTGTTGTTGTTGCTCTCGTCGATGGAGAAGGTCAGGTCACCGGTCGAGACGACACGGATAATTCGATTTACACCTACGGCCTTTTGTGGATTGTGCACGATCTCTCGGGATTTCCTTCTTCTTTCGTCTCGGGGTCGTCCAGCCGCTGCCTGTAAATAGGCCTCCAACGGCAGCGGGATCGGAGGCGGAAGACCGTATCCGACGTCAGGGTGCCCATTCGTCGGCGAGTGATGATGGTGATTCTCCAGGAGACTCTGATTCTCCAAAAGCGGCGACGATTCCGAGCACTGTTCCGGACATTGGTATCGGCATATCTGTATGGTACACTGGAAGTGAACCTCCATAGAGTCTGGAAACTTGAACGCCTGGAAATGGGCGTAGGACAGCACTGACGCCGAAGCGCCGAAATTCTTGATTTTTGTGAATCTAGACATCAATTTCGGCCGGGTGATACAGCCTCGCTGATCTACCAATTGTATCGGCGCGCGTTTGCCGTCGTGGGCCATGCAGTTTCTCACAAGCATGTCGAACTTGGAATCGTCGTCCTTGATCGCGAGTACCATCGTCATAGTCTGGCCGATCTTGACCAATCCCGAAACCTCGGAAGCCCACGGTCCCTTGCCAACTTGGATCTGCATCCAGCAGCCGACGTTATCACCGGCGAAGTCCGCGCGAACTACGTCCAGCATGTCGACGGGAAATGGGCGGAAAGTGACCGACTTCTCGTACAGATCGTGCCAAGTGCACCGCAGTTTACGCGCCTGATCCCAGACCTCTTGCACTTGAGGATCGTACTGCACCACTATGATATTTTCAAAGAACGTCCCGGAGCCAGACTCGGCGCCGTAGCCGTACAATCCATTCTCCGTATTGCCGGCCGTCCCGCACGCGTGTATGCTGATTTCGAAGTTGACGGACGTGCGGCCAAGTCCCGCAGGTAGATGTACGCAATTAATGTTGCTGTAGTGGCCCTTACTGAAGACTATACCGTAGAACGGCTTATCGAAGCCCAAGTAAACCTTCATCAGACTTTTCTCGCATTTCACGTCCAGCGACACAATCTTTGGCATATCGGGCGTCGGCGCTGGCCAAGGTTCGACGCCGACCGCGGTGCTAACGCCACCGCCAGTGGTATAGATCTTATCCATAGCTTCCGCGTGCGCTTTAGAAGACGGCAATGGTGGTGGTGGTCCATGATAGGCGACGTTATGCGGACGCGGCAAACTTAACGCACCTCGACCCGGTGGTAGCAGAGGATGACCTCGAAGACCACCCGATTTATAGTGATTCCCTCCCGCATCCTTATCCGCTATGGAATCCAATGCCAATTGATCGGAATTAATTAATTCGTTATCCTGGTGATTCAGTGCCGAATTCTCGTTTCGATTATCTTCTCCCGGAATTGCCTCCACAACCTCGACTTCTTCGGCTCGAGCCAGCTGTAAAGACAGCACCAATAATCGCGTGTTGATGTGATAAATAGATGCAATCCTCGTATGTGTGTGTGATGTACATCACACACATCTCCGGTTTTAAACAAAATTTTATAAAAAGTGAATTTTAAAAAATAATGGGTGATTGGTTCAAATCTGCGCCACGGGTGATGTTATCATGGAGTTTACAGAAATTTGTTAAATTCTTGCGAAACTAGTCATGTATTTATGATATTTCTTTCGACAGAGAATCTTCGTTTCTCTGTCTTTCTCTTCGAATCATTAATTATAATAATTATTTATGTCACTCTTGATCCAACGTATCCAATGAGGCTACATCACCATACCGAGATCTCATTCGAATTTTATTGTTGACACTGATTGTGAGCGCTCCGATGTATACATACATACGTACGAACGTCGTTTCGGATAATAATTTTTATACATTTATCGAAAAAAAGAAAAAAAACGGTCATACAACGGTATCCGTTTCTCACGCGCTCACGCGGGAAACCTAAGTATGTCAAGCTCGACAGAATCGCGGTGCACCGAGAAATGCGGTACGGGCTCGATCGTTCGATTATCCGATCGGACAAATGGAGCGATCGTCGAAAGAGTTATTTCCGGTGACGCGACAGCCGAGGGCAACGCGGCATGGACTGTTCGGATGACGGCGAGTCGCCGGCGGCGACGAACCTGTTCGGAGTATTCAACGAATGTGGAGTTCGAGGATTCGAAGAGAGACGGTGGGGACGTGGAGATAAGGGGGTTGCGAGGTAGGAAGCCCGCGGAATAGGAGCATCGAGTCGGTGTGTATAGAACCGTACGCGTTATAGTGGTCGATTGCGTCACGCGTGACCTTAGGGCATAACGGACCACCCGTGTCTTTAGCCGCGGGTCAATCGGCCAGTTTCGCGCACATGTTCGGCGGCTCTCCTTCTCATTCTCACCCCTACCGCCCGGCCCGTCTGTTTACTCGTCCTGTCATGGATTTTCAATGTGCGCGCGTCCCATAATTCGACCAAGGCCTACTGAGTCACTTGCGCGGGTTTCGCGCCATCGGCATCGCACCGATCTCGACTCTGGCGATTTTCGAACAAGATGCGACAACTGGCGGTACCATGTTACCATGTTACCATTTTATATCAAATATGTTTTGTCCAACACCACTCGGCGTCTTTGATCGTAACGGTTTGACGTCGGTAGTCGTTTACTATCAAAATCAGAAGAATAAAAATGACAAATGTATAAAACGCACGTAAGCAAACATTGAAATTTGTCACATTTCTTATTGCAAGAATATAAAGCATGTATAAGAGGTGGAAAGAGAAAAAAACACGCGGTTTTTTTGTTAAACTACGTACAGAAAGAATTAAGCAGATTTTAATATATAAGTACAGTATTGACATTGAAATGGTGTTGTTCCGTTATATTCGCATAATTCATAGAGATATCGGCGACGGACAAACGGAGCGATATCGACGATACGGTAACGACGATTTATTCGTCCCGCTCTATTACGAAAGTAAAGATAATCTTCGATCGAGAATTTAAGCGAAAATCGCGTTGAGCGAAAAATAAAGAGGATGCGGACACACGCATCGAAAATCGTGTCGGGGGCCATAGGAATGCAGGATGAAAAGGGTATACACCGAAGAAACTGTGTAGCGCGCGCGCTCACACGAAGAAACCGGTCGTTCCGCGCCCGGGATTTTTGCGCACCACCTTGTAAGAGAGCGGCCCGACGCGCGATGAAACGTTACTCGGGTCCTCGGTAGACAGTGGACAGTGAACGAGCCGGATCGAGCCGCTCCGCTCCGCGCACCATTTTGAGACATCGGGCCAGGCGAGTCGCCCTTAGCTCTGGGTCAGACTGGTCAGAGCACTGGGTAACGGCATTGCCCGGCCACGTGCGTACCCACCACGAGATATCTGGGTTATAATGTAGTAATTACCTACGCAGACGTACCGACCTACCCCTCGTACCGCGCCACGTCCGCGTACTCCGCGTCGCGCGTGTCCTCCGCGTTTCCCCGGTGCTGGTACTGCTGGTGTTCTCGCACCAGATGAGAATACCAATAATACCTGTACGCCTCATTCACCGTCTTTCTTTCGTCTCTGGAAACATTCGATCGACATATTTCGCTTCGAACGCCGTTACGACGATCTTCGACGAACAACATCGGAACGTGTATCGGCACGTTCGCGTTAACTCTTTCCGTATGACATACTCTTGTTGCAACGGTCATAGATCGAGAGAATCGAGATTCATTCATTCCAGAACACTTTTGAAGAACATAAAAGACGTATTCACTCACCCCCTTGAATAGGAGACAGGCTAGGATACAAATGCGTAACTGCATACCGCGTTAGTGTCCACGGTGGAACACTAGTGGTATCACTGAAAAAAATACCGATCACGTGTTAAATTTAAATTCAACCGTAAACATTAAATATACATTATAGCATAATTTGGCATTGCGAAAAACTCTTTGATAAAAAAAATACTTAATTTCTGAAATAATCTGCATAAAAGTAGTTAAATTAAATGGAATGATTGTGTCAACGCATATAATAACCTACCTGTAACGATATAATCGTACGATCGAGTAGTCGTGGAAGTTGAGAGACTGTCTCTCACAATTATATCGTAATATTACGGCCGGTCCTTTCTGTCGGCGTAACTACCGACTGCTCGCGACACGCCTGTGTGATCTGTAATTAGAGTTTTACAAAGTTTATAATTATAAGAATCTTTAGAGAAGCATCGATCGGGTGTAGTAAGCATCGTTCGTCATCGAAACTTTACAACGATCACATTAGGAGTGTTTACTATTAATCGCGCTTATTTCCGCTACCTTACGGTAAATGACGCATCTACGTCTAGCTATAATCTACGGGACAGCCTGTTGTCGAACTCGGGTTTCGCTCATTTCGCTCGTGTTTGATCGCCAATTATCAAGCAATATATGTTCGCCTCGCGCAACCACTAAGCCATCTGTCCCAAATTCCTCTTGAATGTCCGGGTTTTCGCTCCGTTACTTCGTTGTAAACGTGAAACCGCGGTCGCATCTATCGGAGTCGAATTCACTAAATTTGCATAGCACAAAAGCGCACATACAGAAGCCAACATATATATGTATAAGTTTCACGTGTAATCGTCAACATGTAAATCTCACGTGAGATAACAAATCAAAATGATTTTGTCACGTATATCTTTTATAATAGAGAAGAAAAAAGATGGGGATAGTAAGTATGCCTGCACTGACTCGTTATTCGTTACATGATCGCTTTGCCGCATATACACGGAACGAGAGTCAAATTCTGACTGCAACCTATTTTTAGAGAACAAAGTACTTAATTATAAAACAGGCAGTGTGCGTATATAAACGGAAAAAAAAAATAATTAAAACCTCATAACTAGTTTTATTCAAGTGTAATGAAATACTTGCCGAGGCTTTTGTCAGACGTAAATTGAGACGTAAACGGGGAAAACAGCCATGTAAATGGCGGGTAGGTAAAATGTCGCGAGTAGGTACTAATTTGTTTAATGATCGTGTCGATTTGAATGTCTCGCGCTTTAATGCTCTCTTACAAAGAACACGGAAGAAATATCTCCTCATCCAACCATTCTTTTTCACAGCATACATAATACACGCAATGTACATATGTAATGTATGTACATACGATAACATGTGTATTAAAGTTCTTTAATCTTATCATTTAAATCAAACCATTTAAATTTAACAAACAGCGCTCACACAGAATAAGAAAGCCGTTTTCTTCCGATGATTATTTAGCGAAATGTTCTCTCTAATTTTTAACATTAAGTGGGTCTCGATCATTTTGATCTTTAAACTATAAAAATCTATAAAGTTTAGTAACGTTCCGGTTTTAACGTTATAATGAAGAATGGCACGACCGCTTTCGCGCGCGCATGAAAGAGAAAAGCCAGAGACGATATGCAAGACGACTGTGCGGTAATGTGCAGTCAGTGTCCAAGTGGTATGCTTGACGTTTTATGAATGTAGGCAAGTAGGCTCCCGCCGATCAACGCTCGACCGCACGCGCGCGCACGTGGAGTCCAAGTCAAAAGAACCAACCGGTTAGCCGGGCGCGGCCGCCGGCTATTCGTCCAGTTTGCGCGAATTCAGTACTTTGTATGTACGATCGTAACATCTAAAATCGGAAAATTGGATAATCGATTTCTTGAAAATTTTCTCTTGTAAACTGTAAAGCCGTTTTTCTGGTGAATTATTGAGATTATTGAGAAACTGTTGAGAAAGAACAAAGATGTTGATATTCGAAAACAATCTGCAATCATACAATAGTTTTGATCTTTAAAAAAAATAAAAATATATATATTTAATATTGTAATTAACCAAAAATCAACAGTGTCGCAAATGTACGTGCCTCGACACGTGACTTTCGGAAGCAGTTTGGAGAGACAATCACGAGACAGCAAAAACCGCAAAGTCATTCGATCATATCATATATTATCTGTTATTCTGCTTTGCAATTCGTGTCACGATAAACCGCGACACCTGTTCTTCCTCTTACGAGTAGCTTGTACTCGAATAAAAATCACTGCCAGCTGTTTACACGTCTCCCATTTCACGTTAACCATGAATCGGGCATGCCGAAGATGTGGCATAGTGCCAAATACATATAACGGTTCCGTCGATGTTGTAATTCCGAAGTCGGGCACTCGCATAATCAGCAACCTAATAGCGACCTATATCGAACAAACATGGAGACTCTTTTCTGTTTCCTTGTCCCCCTTTCTCATTATCTTCTCTTCCATATAACGGACATCCAGAAAGACGTCCGTGTTGTAAATACATAGTATCCGCTAACATTCGAAAAGACAGACTAAACATACTGATGCATCGATGAATGTATGTTACTTGTTTCAGACTTTTTCATAGATTTCATATACGACCGCGACGTTCATCTAATATTTGTTTTTGTTTCCATTTTCTTTTTGAGGTCTCATCTCGCTAATTATTTCGCTCTAAAGATTCTACATAAAATCTCGACAGCATTCTGCATACAATCTCTCAGAATTAATATTTAATATATTCGCGATGTGAGCTAATCATACGTCGAAAAATCACCGTAATAATGATCTCCTTAATAAATTGAATAAATTGAACGCGGACCGTCGCGCTCAGATATATCCTATATCCGCTCGTGACAGCGCATCTATTAGCCATTACGCTATTGTATCAAAATAATAATGATATGTCGTAAATTTATGTGAGATCTATGATACTAATCTTATTTTGCAACACGGTTAGGTTTGCAATATGGTGATCAAATGTAACAAAGTAGTCCAACTCTATCGCTTCTCTCTACATTTGCGTTCTAGCAAAAGAGGACACGTATATCTATAATAAAAGGTTATGATAAAAGAAATCATGCGTTAATTTTTAATAAATAGATAAATATTAAATAAAAATTATACTCGATACAAATCTCAACGTAGAAACGTAATACGATTTATGATTTATGAATACTTGATCTTATATAAAAATTTTTAGACAAGAATACTGCAAAGTGACACACTTTTGAATCTTGGATAACAATATGTACCTTAAAGCCATTGGTTCTGCTACTATCAATACAGATCTACCTTTCTTATTCGGTAAACGCGCGCACGCGTAATTGTATATATCGTAAAAAATTCACAGTCCACTTTTTTTAATATGCACCACTTCGTTTGGTTACGCGCGCCGTTTGTGCAATGGTATACACGAAATTACACGCTTTTTAATTACCGTGCAATTTTAATTGACAAGATAGCAACCAATTGTGCAGCAATGTTTCTCTACCTGTGTTCTATACACGCGTGTCACATTAATATTATTAATTATTACTAATTTATATTTATATTTACACGATTATGATAATAAATGTGAAAAATCACATAATCACGATAACTTTAGAAGAATTCCTATCGATATTATAAAACAGGTCCGTTGGACCTGTTCAATATTGTTCCGCCGTAGCGCATAATCGCTAGAGTGGAAACGGTCACCACGTGGCTAACTACATACATATATCGTGCTGCATCTCCTACAGCGCGACGTATAATTTCTCTCAATGAGCCTGCGCCCCGACCGTTATTAACGCATTAACGAGGCGCGAAACGATGACGTGCGACTTGCCTCTAATAACTTAATCAGTGACGTAGCGCTAATTGGATTACGTCCTGTGCAACGTAGCTGGTCGTTAACCGCCGTACATACGTCCGCCAGACTCAAGAAACGCGTTTAACAGCCACGAATTATCTACATATAACGACGTTTTCACCGCGGTGCACACACAAGGCGCAAAGTCGTAGAGAGCCGTAGAATATTTGGGAACTAAAATAGTCAGGGTCGTCTGTCAGCAGCTAACAAAATACAAAATGCATGTTCGAAACAACGCGTTCTCATACAGATGATATTTTCGAGCACGTCTTCTCACCGCAAAAAAATTCTTTGTATCAGTATTAGCATCCAAGTATCAGTATCTATTTACGACAAATAGCTTTCTTTTTCCTTTTTTTTTAAATAAACGGCTCAAAGCAAATTAAATCAAACAGTCGAGCTTACAATAAGAATGATATAGATGCAGCGACTGAACATTCGGTCTAACTTGATATTGGTGACACGCGATGATATCTTACTTCTCTGAGCCGATACCCAAGCAAATCCGGATGCAAGTGTGGTCCCCAACGTGCACGATTCTCCTTCGGATGTCAAACGGTCAGAAGGAAGAAAGACGAACTGAACGAATCGCTGGGATCGCTAACATCGATCCAAGTATCGAATCGCTGTATAGCGCGTTAGGTCCCGCGTCCCGCTGCACAATCGCAACGCCCAATTCCGCACGCTCGCGCTCCAACGCAACGCTCCAAGCTCCAACGAGCGCGATTACTGAAGGTGAGATTGACAAACTCACTCGTATCGCTGGTAAAGTGTGACGTGCGGTATTCTCTCGAACGGGCTCTATAAGAGCCTTCGGAAGCTCCGTGCGAACGACTGATCACCTTGTGATGACTCCGCGATACTCCGCGATGCCCGCGCGACAGCTAGAGAAAGAGACGCGCGCGCCGGGACAACGTGCGGTCGCCGGTCTCAGAGGTGCACGCGAGAACTCGAAGAGTCGGAATAGGGTACACCTGTCCGATATACGGAGTATACTACAAACGCGCGTAGCGGCCCGCCCCCTGACCCAGACAGCCGGTACAGTTATATAGGTCCCTTGCGCGGAGCGGAGCGGAGCGGAGAATATCTCTCCTCGCTTCATTCTCGCTTCATTCTCGCTTCACGGCTTCATTCGCCGTCGTGAGTCTGCGAGTCTGCGAGTCTGCGACTCGATGAATGTTCGATGCCGATGCTTCTCTGTATATGTCTGTGAGAAGAAGCAAGAAAAAATGCGTGTCCCCGCGGACCCCGCGTGTACTTGGTGTCGACGACACCTATGCCCTATCGCTCAGGGCACATATGTGACATGGGGCACATATGTGACATGGGGCACATTGGCTACGTGATATTGCAATGGACTTTAATGAAGGCGTCGATAATTGGAATTTTGATGGGAAACCTAGATAATCTCTAACGATAACAACATCTCTCATTAGTTTTCTAGTATCGTTTGTTATCTAGCGTGCATATCTACATACATATACATTAAAAAAGCGTCGATGAAAAATAAAAGATCCACTTATTGTTAGTATGAAGTATCGCTATACTCTTTTTGTAATCTCTTTTTTTTTGCGTTTACACGTCGTGTTGAACGCAACGTTATAAATTGTGTATGAATGAATAACGTAATAACGTAACACCAACGTTACGTGACCAAAAATAAATTATGATATTAAATAATATAATGCTCGCCAATATGTGTGACACACACACACAAAATACACAAATATTCAAAATCTATCTATACTACCAACTCATTAAGTTACACATGTTCCACTATTTATCACGGCAACTTTCTCATTCTGAGAAGAAATCGACTATTTGTTAATTGTTTAATAACATTTTACTTTTTACTTAACATTTTGCTAATCAAACATGTCAGATAAATTATACTCATTAATTAATGGTATATAGAACAGTTGTACATAATTTTAAGTAAAGTGTCCTCAATCTGCAGTATTAGCGACATATTTTACATGAATAATTAAGAAAATGTACTTTCGTCAAAAAATATCATATATAATTGATGCAAGTAAATAATTATCTTTAAAATAATCATTAGTTATATAAAAAAAAAATCTAATTTAATATCATTTAATCGAAAAATCGACCAAGTCAAACGTGAACATTTTCAAATTTTTTATTATTGACGAATTCTCTTGTCAAATTGCAAATCAAATTTGATTATAAAGATGCCCAGTCTAATTATAAAATAATTTAGCTCTAAAAATAAGTTACTTTTATTGTCAATTAAAAATAGACGTAATAAAATATTAGGCAGGTTTTGTCTTATTGTCTCCAAACTGGATACACCATATAGTGGCCTCTGGCATTGCATTTCGAATGCATTTAAATACTAAAGATAATAACATTTAACGATTGGTGATAATTTATCAATCGATGGTTATATAAAAAGTACATTTGCCGACATGGCTTATAATAATGATTTTTGTTGTTAAACATTTGTGACACCGAATAAATACTAGATAACTGAAATCGTGGCTGAAATATATTGTATGTATATATATTTTGTTAAAGAAATGCGCGCAACTGTAGGTAAATTATCATGTCTATTAAACGATGTAGTAAAGATAGCGTTGACATACGTGTTCGTAACAAAAATAAACGGAATCAGTTCAGACTTAAAATTACGACATATTATAATAATAAATAGCAAAGTAACGATATAAAAATAGTATATAATAAATAATATAATATAATATTAAAATGGTATTATTATAACCATAATAATAAATAAATCATATTCTTTGTATGTATGCTAAAAAATATCTTGTTTAAATGACGGCTAAAAACATTAAAGTCTCTCAAAACGTTTTATAGTTTGTCCTACAAAATCATTGATATGTAAATTTATGTGTTAGACTACTTACAACACAGCTGATTGATATAGCATTTATGTATTCGTTCAATTTCATATTTGACATTTATAGTCTACATATGACATATATAGACATTTATATGCGAATTATGGATAGTTGACAAAGATTGAATATCAACAAAATATTCACGTCGATTACGGTCTACATCTACGATTATGTTCTCATTAACTACAGTACCGTTTGACTGGTTTCTTTCATAAAGCTGTACGAGGAGCACCGTGAAATATGAAAATTACAAATATACTACTCGTTACTTTATCTCTTCTGCTAGTAAGTGACATTTTTAAATATTTTATTTTTCTAAATTACTTTTAAAATTTTTCTCTAATATTGCAAAAATTAACGTTTTGTATATTTACTGTGTAAATTTGTTTTATTTTGTGTGTATGTTGGAGCACAAGCGGACATTAAACGAGATTGTCGTCAGCAAACGAATGTTTCTTGGGGTATGAATATTTTATATTACTCGCACATTGAGAAAAATGTATTTATTTTTCTTAATTGGCTTCTTTGATCCAGTATCCTTAAAGCAACTAAAGGCTGGTAATATTGAACAAACTGATATAAAATTAAAATGTTATTTGAGATGCTTTATGATAAAAATTGGTATTCTTAATGAGAATAACAATGTAGATGTTGAAAAAGCTCTGCGTCATCTCCCGCGCAATATGCAAGAGTCATCGAAAAGAATTCTTAATCGATGTAAATCGATTCGTAAGTCTCCTCATTATATTTAGTTACTTTCTCGTATAACAAGGTCAATCTATAATTATTGCAACATTTAAAATGTACATTTTATATTTTCTTTTCTTTTTATATAAAATGTAGCAGTTCAATATACCTATATACGTATATAGATTCGTAAACATATACCTACTAGCATATATTACGTAGGACATAATATGAGTATATCAAAAATTTGAAAAACAAAAATTGATTATATAGTCGATAATAAATTAATAGAAAAATTAATTTTTAGAAGCAGAGAATACTTGCGATAAAGCTTTTCAAATAGCTATATGCTACGTTAAAGCGCAACCTGAAGTACGTAAATTTTTTATATTTTATTTATAACATAAAGTTATTATCGTCATAATGTACTCTCTTTTATAACTCACGCAACAATTCTGTTTGCAGATCTTGAAAAGCATATCGTTTATTATTTAGAAATAAATTGTTTTGAGTTCAGATATATGTAAAGCGTTGCATCATGAAAAATATAAATAGGAATAGCAGCTTGGACTTACAGTAGCTGTATATATACGTAGAAACGCTATTTTACTGAAATTATGTCATTTGAAGAATATATTAAAGATAATTTTTCGTTTGCAATCTTCTAAAAGAAAATGTATAAAAATTGTTTAACATACATATTATTTCTTAAATATAGTATATTATACACACACACACACACACACACACACACACACACATATTATATATATATAAAATAAAATTAATTCTATAAATATGACACATTTTATATATTTACAAAAATTCTTTTAAAAAATGCCGGTAGAGAAAAAGATGAACGAAACCATGGTAACGCGTAATATTTGTTTGTAATTCACGTCACATATAAATTTTCAACACAATATACATTTTATCAAAATTTGAGAATTTTTCAGAATAAAAAATTTAAGACACTAAAAACTCATCATGTGTGATCATTGTGCGTAAGTAATATTTGTGTTATGTTACATGAAGCAATTTTTATCTCTCATACTATATTATAAACTTCTCTTGCATACTTTTTGATGTAGTATTATGTATATATATACTTGAACGTATAAAACAATGCCATGTGCAAATGGTTATATACATACATACATGTATGAAAAATATTCATGTTACCTTTTATAGAAAAATTACCAGTCAAAAAGGATATGCTGGGCAAGTGACCTGTCGATGCAAGTAAGTTTAAGTAAATATATAAATTTATAAATACGTTTATGTGTATATATAAATAACGTATGTGTTATGTATTATACATTATGTTTGAACAGTGGCGAGAAAAAGAACAGTGTGGCCAGTAAGGAAAAGGACTTCGCTGGATGTTGTAGCAAAAAGTAAAAATTGCGTGATAACCAGTTTAAAATTCGGAAAATTATTTAAACCTATATGGCCGCCTGGCTGCATAATAATGATGGCACAAGCATTGCAATATTCTTACAGTTTGAGATTTTGATAATTCAGTGATTGTAACTCGACTAAATATGTAGAGAAAAAAAGGTACACGGAGGATGTTGTGGTGCCAAATGTTGCTCGGGTACGAAGGAAGAGCATGGCGGATGTTGTAGCGATGCCACTACAGATCAAAAGAGCTGCTGCCCAGCAGGAAAGTAATCTACCAACGCAATGGTCCTACTTGATGACAAGGTTAAAAAGGCGGTCATATGGGCTATTTTAGATGAATTCACAAATTCACCTTTTTCATCATATTTACACACGTACACATAATAAATTCCTACTAGATGTTTATTCAGAGTTTCTCACAGTTTTGTCTTGTATTTAATGTCATGATTACTGTTGTTGTTATTACGTTTATTATTAATTAATATTTTAAACGTTATTACTGTATTTTTTATTAGAGCGAGAGAAGCAGCCGGCGGTTGCTGTATGTCTGGTTGTTGCAAACAAACTAAAAATGAAAAGAACGAGAGAGACTCGGCAGGTGCGGATTGTGCCTCGCAGGCGAAAGACACCGTTCATCCTCCAGGAGGATGCTGTGCCGAAAATCGGAAATAACTTTAAAAAAGATGATTGCATCGTAAATCCCAAGTCAAAAGATTTAAATACTTTCTGCCTATATTTCTGTTCTGCGCGCAATCTAAAATGTTTGGATAATAAAACTACTTAAATCTCTGTATATACCTCTATATATATATTTCGAATCTGTATATTTTATAGTCGATTCGTTGTTACAAAATCGTCGCCGCAAATCCGCAAATCCACAAATCCACAAATCGTGTATCAATTCTATTTAAATTATCATGCAAAATACGAGGCAATCCTGTTGTTCGTACCACAGTTTGATATATTGTAAATATTCTTTATACTCTTCAATCAATTGTCAATACAATCAGGCTTAATATAGATGCTAAAACTTAGTCGCAACAATTTGCAGATATATTCGTCTATTATGCATCCTATCCTATTAGGCTTTATTATGATATTACCGTAGAAAATTCATGACAATACGCTAAATTTTATGTACATCATTAATGATCGACAAATGTAGAAAATGTGTGACACAACACACATGTAATTAACTAAACGAATGAAAAAAAATTAGTGTAATTGTTTAAATATGGGTATAAAATTAATGTCAAGGATGATACGAGGTTTGATGATACTTTCTGGCAAAATTGCTAACGACTTGTTACGTAGAATGTGTCAAAGGATACAGATTATAATTATACATGTGTGTGTGCATGACCTGTTAAAGATAATAAATTTGAAAGAATATAGCATCGAGAAATGATTAAAAAATAATTAAAAGCTAAAAGAACCGTGGTTCCGTGACGTCATGACGTAAAGAAAAATCTACGTCATGTCTATCCGTATATATCCGTGAATATCCGTGAATATCCGTGAATATCTGTGAATATCCGTGACGCACGTGCAAGAAACAGGGTGCTTGAAGCAAAAGTTGATAAGGGCGAAAGTGCGTGTATGTGTGCGCGGGGATGATGCGGCTAGGCTTGACGCGGCTCGATGCGGCGCGCAAGCGCGACGGGTGCAGAGCTTTCGAGCCACGCGATGGTAGCAGTTGGCCTTCTAAAACCGCGAAACACGTCCCGCGTTCTCTCGAGGAAGAGTACCGCGAGGCTCCAATCCAAGCCACGCTGTTTCTACCGTTTATCGTGTACGTGCGCGTTTAGAGTAAGAATCCGAAGACATCCCCGATCGTCCATTTTGACCCTTCCTCGGTCAAGCTCCTTGCGTTCGCTCTCATTTGACACTGACATATCCGACACACTTACCAAATGACGGCAAATCACCAACAACACTGTCGTCGCCCGTCCTGTGCCTCGAACCTCGAACCTCGAACGTCGCGACATCGTGCATCGTGCATCGCGCATCGTGCATCGTGCATCGTGCATCGTGCATCGTGCATCGTGCATC